AGAACACAAATCCCAGTTCAATCAGGGAAGGAGTCAGACAGGGAGATGCTATATATCATCAACAATCCGTTAGCTATACTAAGCATTTTTCAACTCTACTATAATTTCTAGAGTTACTAATTGATGAGCAAGTCGAATTCCGTCCTAGATATATTCCTTGGTGACGCAGGAAATAGAAAACCCCATAAAAAATCTAAGAGGTCAGATCCGGACATCTTGCAGGCTATTTATCGGACATCCCGGAGATTGCAACTACTTGGCGCATGCAAACTTGTGAATCAAATGACCATGTAGTCTTCGGTTATGTTTGAAAATGGCTGTTATTAGGGAAACAATTCCTCATAGTCTATACTCTTCAGCATTTCTTGAGTTACTGGTGCTATGTATTTACTTAATATTTTGACAATAAAACAATAAAATGTTTACTGGACGCAGGACTTTATTTTAAGGCCAGGAAACAGAGTACAAAGACTAAAACCCACAAGGTTTTTTTTAAAGACCACACGACATGACATACCTACTGTCATCATACTGTGATGACATATCTCTGACATGACATTTCCTAACTTGCAGGGTGGCCCAATTGTGAATGTGTGAAGCATACCGCACTTTTCCTCTATCAAAAAAAAGTAAGACTATAGATCCAATTTAATTATGGGTTTGGGAGCCCCATTTGATCTACGTACTGGGGTTCTAAACGTCAAATGCGTACCAACACTTGTCACTCCGAGATCAATCGGATTATCGCGATAGACATCTTGCTGACTCGGGTAGTCTTTGAGGAAGACTTCTCCTTACTGGAGACTTATTGTCTATATCAAGGTTTTTCCCTGAATGACAAGCAACATCATCCGCTTCCGAAATAGATGTAGTAGATGGTTGAGGTAATTTATTTGGTGACCGCTCAGATGACGTTTCTAACTCCAGACTAACAGAAGGGTACTTATGTTCTAATGCTAATGAATCATTACATTTACGTATATAGTCACAATGGAACATTCTTATGACATCATTGACTCTAATTAAATAAGTTACCAAACTTAACACTTTTACAATAACGCCATATGCTTAAAATTTATCTGTTTTTCTAAACTTCACTAACACTTTTTCACCATTAGAAAAAAAAATTACTTACGACAACTGGATCAGACTTATTTTTAGTTGTATTATAACCAATATCAGGTTTTAAAAGATCTAAAAGTGTACGAAGCTTTACTTTAAAGACAATTTCAAAAGGTGATAATACAGTAGTCGTAGTTGGTGTATTTCTATGTGTAAGTAAAAACTGGCTTAATCTAGCTGATATAGATAGGGAATAATTAGCTTTGGATTCATCATATAGTTGTCTATCTTATTTTTTTTAAATATCTTGAACCCAATCTTGAACCCCTTTTTCAGCGGTTCCATTAGATGGAGGGTGAACTGGAGGGGTTGAAACTGGGTCAATTCCATTCGCTTGACAAAATTTGATGAATTCATCTGAGTTAAATGGTGGACCGTTGTCACTAACTATTTGGTTAGGTAGGCCCATCATAGAAAAGGTTATCTTAAGTTTCTCAATAGCAACCGAATCTGTTGTAGAAGACATTAAATGAATATCCACCCATTTCGAGTAGCTGTCATGAATTATTAAAAATGTATTCGCTATTTTTTCAAAAAAATCAATATGCACTCTAAACCAAATTTTGGGTGGTTTTGGCCAAGATAATAAGTTTTTTTCAGGTAAATTATTCTGCGTCAACTGGCATGTTTCACAGTTTCCAATAAATTCTTCAATATCATCCGATAAACCTGGCCACCAGAACACAGAACGAGCCAGCATTTTGGATCTTACAACACCAATATGACTTTAGTGAAGAAGACTCAATACTTTGGATCTCAAGGTTGTTGGAATAATTACACGGCTACCCCGCAATATACATCCTTTCTCCACTGAAAGTTCATCTTTTTTATAAAAGAAGGGCTTTAAATCCATATCGATTGTGGCCAACCACGCACAATTAGATCCTCAACTTTAGATAAGACGACATCCTTTTAGTACGAAAAGAAATATCATAAGAGGTAATTGGTACATTATCTAAAAGATTGAAGGAATTTATATGCAACACGTCAGTCTCAGCAGGTAAGAGCAGTCTTGACAAACCATCAGCATGACTAATTTGAGATGAGAACCCTTTTTACACACAATGTTAAAATTATAAGCTGACAAGAATACAGCCCAACGGGTTATTCTTGATGTGACAATAGTAGGCAACGACTTCGATGAGTTAAATATCATTTTTAGTGGCTGATGATCTGAAACTAGAGTGAACGCACCCCCATACAAGAATCTATGAAAGCGTTTTACAGCAAAAACAATTGCCGGTGCTTCTCTCTTTAGCTGAGAGTAATTTCTTTCTGCCTTAGAGAAAATACCAGAAATAAACCATATGTGACTATCAAAACTATTTATGGTATGACACAGTACCGCCCCAACTCGATAAGAACTGGAGTCACAAATAAGTTTGAGTGTTTTCACCGGATCATAATGGACAAGCACTTGATTATCTATTAATATTTTTTTTCCTGCAGAAAACGCCTCCGTACAAGCTTTATCCAATTTAAATTCCACCCCCTTCTCTAATAAATGGTAAGGGTTTCAAGACCGATGACAACATAGGAAGAAATTTATTATAAAAATTCAATAAACCCAAAAATGCTCTCAGCTCAGTTAAGTTTTTTGGGTCAGGAGCATTCAAAATTGCTTGAACTTCTTCAGATGTTGGATTTATGCCTTCGGCGTCAATCCTATGCCCCAAGTATTCTACAGAATCAGAAAAAAATCTACATTTTGATATGTTCACTTTCACATTATACTCTGCCATTCGAGAAAGCACCTGACACACATTTTTGTAACATTCAGCAAAATTTTTACCCATGGCCAAAGTGTCATCCAAGTAACAAATCACACCATTCAAACCACTTAAAATTTTATCCATAGTCATTTGAAACATTGCTGGGGCATTGGTAATCCCGTAAGTTAGCCGCGTATATCTATACAACCCAAAATTCGTGTTAATGATCAAATCAAAAATTCCTGAGAAGAGGTATCCACAGACAATTGTTGATAGACACCCAACAAATCGAGGATACAAAATACAGAGCCCCCATTCGATTTTACTAAAAGGTCATTTATATTTGGGAGAGGATAAATATCCTGACGCAACACTTGGTTTAAGGTCACCTTAAAATCCACGCAGACCCTGATATCCCCATTTTTTTTTTTTGGTACAATTACGATCGGACTCGCCCAATCACTGGTACTTACTGGAACCAATATACCATCATCAACCATCTCATCAAGCTTAAGTTTTAATTTATCTTGTAAAGCAAATGGAACATTGTAAGGTTTCCGGAAAATAGGATTGGTTTTTTGTTTGAGTTTAACCTCAAACACCTTTATGGGTTCCTTAGGTAAACTTGAAAATACTGATGGAAACTTTGCTGCAAAATGAGAAAATGCTTAGCCTTTATCAGTATTTTCACGTTCAGAGAAGTTTGACACAGTATTAATAAAAATATTATTTCTCCACATTGGACTCATTATATCTAACCAATCACGTACCAGCAGTGGTGTGAAATTTTTCTCAGTTTTTATGACTAATAAGGGTAATACAAACACTGACAAACATTTCGCCCATTACTGAAACTGATTGACCTGTCACAACACTTAACTTACAACTAACAGGTTCTAGAACTAGAACACTAAACAATTTTTAGAAAAGTTCATTGGAAATCACTAACCTTGATGCACCTGAATCAATTTCCATAACAATAATCTTACCATTCAGTTGCAGGCTAATTTTTTTTGCATCATTTGGCCCAGTTAAAGCTGCCAATTGTGCCAGATTATCATCCGAGTCGTATTGCTCAACATATTCAGAGGCACCGAGGTGACACTCGAAGCAGTCTCCAACGCCTCTGGTTCATCTTAATTAGGTAGACTTTTTGCTAGGTCCTTTTTTCCCACAAGAAAAACAAGAAAAACCATTCCATAGCAGGGCATGTAGATGGCTCATGAGCTCTTCCACAACGAAAACACTTCTGACTCACAGGCCTAATATTTCTCATCAACTTTCTAGAAGCAGCACCTTGACCAACATTTTTTTTTGTATAAACTGCACTAATGCCTACTATTTGGTTGAAATAATTTGGTTTGAGCATCTGCTAGCTCGAAACTTAAAGCTAATTCCACAGCTGACTTAAATATGTCAAGGTTTTTTTCAGTTAATAATTTTCTTTGATAAGAAGGTGATGCCAAACCACATACAAAACGATCTCTTAAGGAATTATCTAGAAAAGTATTAAATGAGCATGACTTTGCATCATTTTTCAATTTCACCACAAAAGATGATACTGGCTCAGCTGGATTTTGAGTACACTTATAAAATTTAAATCTTTCAGCAATAATAATTGTTACTGGACTGAAATGGTTTCTCAAAGTCGTTTTCTGAGACTCGAAATCTTTGTTTCTGGATAAATCAGGGGCCAAAAGATTCTTAAGTACTTCATAAGTATTAGCATAACGTGACATTTCCTAACTTGCAGGGTGGCCCAATTGTGAAGCATACCGCAACTGGAAGAGAAAAATCCTGATTCAATGAGCTTCAATCGATTCATCAAATATCACATTATATGTTACAGCCGTAGACGTTAAGCGTATTTTGTGCTTCAATTAGCTATTCTGCATTTTGCAAGTATCTATCAAGATAATGATTCTATTATTGCTGTATCTAATAATATGTCTCACATAACATGCAAAATTACAGGAATGCGGTGTCATTATAAGGGCTAAACTTTATAGTTTCTTGCAGCAAAAAAATAACTTTTTAAGCTGTTCTAGTAAATCTTTTAGACAACAGTCGAACACAACACGGATGTAAATTAGCCGTGTTCTAAAGTCCCTAAGTGGAAAATTTAATCGTACAAAATTAAATTAGATTAAAACTTAACGAGACACGTAATAACCGCCTTCATCCCACTAAACCAAAAGATGAAAGTTTTTAACTAACATCAACTTTCTGACTCATTTAGTTAGAGTCGAGCAGTAACCTACCGTATAACCATTTTTTTTATGAGTGCGAAAAATAATGCGGACTTCACTAGTTGCTTTTTGTTTAGTGGTTGCGAGTGGCAAGTGTTTAGCTGATTACTATAATACTGTTAATTATGTTTGCAAGGAATTGCATCGGCAGCAAATTGTGGACGTTAATCAGGTAAATTATTTTAATTTGTTTATTATCCGTTTTTTTTTTTTTTTAACTGGTAAAATTTCTTTACATTTAACGTTTTCATGGTCGAAGACATTTTTCATTTATTTCCTCTGCTTTTTTTTACCTTTGCTTTTCCTTCTCAATACCTTTTTTCTTAACTTATTTTTTTCATCTACCAATCCCAATAAACAGTAACCTAATGTCAACAGCGTTTACATTTTTATTGTCCTGATTGAAGAAGTTATTACAAAAATAAAAATATTGAATAAATTGTTATGAGATAGAAATAAATTCAGAAAAAAATTTGAAGTAATTTCTTGCTTCTCCTCAACTTTTCTTACTGGATTTTGTGGTTTCTTTTTCCTTACTTGCTTGATTTTTCACTCAACTTCTTAAACAGTTTTTTTAAGAAATTAATTTTGAATTCTCTATTAGGTTTTCATAAATATTTTTAGACTGTGTTTGTTCGTGCTTGTGTACAACTTTTAAATTATCTCACCAAGACTTAGACCAAGTATTTTTCCTTAAGAGAGAAGTTGTTAAATAATAACCCGCAATTTTGTGTTTCGTGTTAGTTTTTTTTTTGTTTAATTTTGGACCTAAGAAAGTTAAGTTTATTTTTACCACCTTATTTTATAAATAATTTCTCTATCTCCTTTCATTTTAGCTGGAAGGTACATGGTACCTAATAGAAAAAATCCAGCACAACGACGAACGTCATATGATAATGAACTTAACCACTTGCCCTGTGATGCACATTTCGGAAGACAGAAGCATCATTTCGACCACTTATAATCCTCTATTTAAAAGTTACGACACTACCTATGGGGCTAATTATCCGCACGTTCCGATGCCACAAAACGTTCAGAATAATAGGAACCCTACTGATCCGATGAGTACCTTCAATAGTGAACAAGATTATGTGAAACAAACTGAGGAATACGACAGGTAAGAACCTTAAGCATAAGCTTAGTGACTGATTATTAGACTGCGACGATTAAAATGCCTGAAATAACTTTTTTAAACTTTTTTAGTAATTTTAGACATTTTTATTTTTACCAGTTTTTTATGATTTTCAAAAAGAGTCAATTCTCGTCTCTCGTGACACAAAGTATATACAATATGTTTCAAGATGGTTTTAAGGTAATTTACCAGATTTTAATAGTGTCACTTTTATTGTGTTACAGTGTTGAAAGAAATCTAATGTTCCCAATAATATTTTAGACGCACAACTTACGATTACGATAGACGCAGAGTGCTTCATTCTACCTACATGAAACAACGATACCCGATCAAAAATCTAAAACTTTACATGAGCGACGGATATAGCAGCTTCGAACATCATCTACGTTACAACGTCACAAATCCAGGATTTTGGATTATATCTGGTCCAGAGGATGGTAAGACAAGAATTTTAGTAGATGGTGATACATTAAAATGTATAGCAACAACTAAATTTGTAATGTTGCAAACCCGAATGTTCTGCTACTAATTACAACAACAAATTACAAATTATTGTATGTGCTCTTATTATTCTTCTCTCTTCATCTATTTTGAACAGTTCTAGAACTGAATCTGATTGAAACCAAGACAAATCATGAAGTCATTAATAGAATTCTTTGTAGGTGTTCCAGATAACCTCAAACACTTTGCCGGTACCATTCAAGTACTGAAAGCCATTGGAACGCACTTAGTCCTGACAACTTGTCAGTGGTCCAGAGAAACGAAAGAACGTTACACCATGATATTATCAAGAGAAAATTATTTGCCTAGATTCGATATAAACAGCATCCATGCTATGTTGGTGAGGCAAGGATTGAAAACTGACTATGTGGAAAGAAGTTGCAATGGAGCTGAGATGTTTGGTATGACCTTGAGCATGGTTCTATTGGCCTTTGGAGTGGTTTTCATGGTTTCGTAATGGGAAGTTTTAGATCATAAGTAGATACATAGATCTGGTTAATGTTGTAAATATACTAGAATCTGTTTTTGTAATGGAAAGTTTAATATTTTTAACAATAAATTACTTATTTAAGATTGGTTATTAGTTACCGACAAAAAAACAAACATCCATCCAACTTGTGTGCCTAATTTTGATCCATTGTATCCTTCCTTACAATCTTTTTATGATAAGAATAAGTAGGTAGGTACAAAATTTCGTTCCAAGAGTTTTCATTTTAAAAGCAGGAAACAAAGTTCTGTAAAGTAACATCAGTATATTCCTAGTATATTTTTTCAAGCATCCAAACCAAGTAGACTTTGGATAAAAAAGGACATTTTTGAATATATCGCATTCAAAGCTCAAAGTTCTATGGTAACATTTAATTTAATTTTCAATTCTAATTTCATTTTTAAAATTTTATTGAAGCTCTACTATATTTGAAATATTTTACCAAAGAAATATGTGCATAAGTAAGTACCATTGTCACCAAAACTAACTGGGAAAAAAATAATTCATATTAATCTCCTGGACTATTTCAAGTTAGATAAACCTAAAATTTTCCACAGTTTGACAAATACCTGACATCTGAAATAATATGATATAACAAGTGCTAATATGATGCTGTCCCAGTTTCTTTTGGTGACGATGGTATACATAGGTACTTAGATATTCTTAATTGTAATATACCTATAATATAAAAAAGTTTCACTACAAAATATAGTTTGAACTGAGGTACCTACTTTCTATTGAAAATTTGGAGAATAATTAAATTTAAGACACTCAGTTCATCTGTTTTTAGCTCCAAGGCATATGGCACTTGATCCAAAAAATAAACCATACAGACGAAGTTAAGTACATAGACAAAGCACACACTTGCCCCGTAATCCATTTATCCAAACATGATAGCGAATTTAGAATTGTCACTGATAGCACTGAGAAAACTTATCAGACAAGATACGGAAATCGGTATTCTAGCAATGGAAGACCTGTGGATGCCACTAATGAGGAGAAAGTGTATAGTAAAAGTTACAGTAGGTCAGAGCAAGTAAATATTTTTACAATAAATATTACTAGATACCTATTTATTCTAGATTCACAACGCCCAACTACAAAAAACAACACGAATCCCATTCAGTTTACATCAAACATTTATATGAAATCAAATTTCTACGAATGTACTGGGACGAAACATTTCATAGCACCGAATATCATTTTAGCTACAGTACCAATCGTCCAGGATTTTGGGTAGCTTCCAGGATAGACGATGGCTTGATTTCGGAAAACCTTTCTGGTACGGTGCAAGTAATAAAAGCCGTCGGAGACCATTTAGTGTTAACGTTTTGCTACAATTTGCCAGAAGTTACACAAATTTTTAGTCTGATTTTGTCCAGAAATGAACATTTGAGTAACAGAGAATTGCAGAATATTCATTGGCAATTGGCTAGAGAGGATTTGTTAGTTAATTCAATTGAACAGTTTTGTAATAAAAATGGAGCAACAAGTGTTTGTAACAATATAGTATATTTTGTTTTAGGGTTTACTCTGTTTTTGTTTTTTTAAGTAAATATAGATTTCTTTATTACCACAACTGAAAATAATGTAATGGTATCTTCATTGATTTAATAATACGGCTCAATTACATTCAAATTAATTAGATTCTTAAACAAAACAAAAATTGTTCTCAGAAATTAGAAAAATTTGGGATGGTGGCTCAAGGATATGCCAATCTTGTATTTTCCACTGTTATCTCTGAAACGTTGCTCAAGAAAGAAATTGTACCTGCACTAAGAAACTTACTTCGGAAAACTTTTACCAGATTTGTTTTCAGCAAAACGGAACCGATAAAAGGCAAAGTATTGAATCGCCTCAGTGTTCAGTGGATATATTAGTAGTGTGTTTTGTGTAGTTCTTTGTTCTTTTTCAGCCTTTTTTCTTTTTATTTGAAGGTTTCTTGCCACTTTTTGATTTTTGATGATTGCAGTTCCTAATCTCCGCCAACTGCAGTGTTTCAGTTCGAAGAACCTCATTTGGGAAAGATATTTCTTTGGTTTACCACTTTCGTCTACACAAAAATATTTTTCGGCATTATTTTAAAATGGTAGGAAGGTAGGTAGGTATCCAGTATTGCTTTGATTTCCTTTTTGAGGTAAATACTCGGATAAATAATAATGTTTTTCTCCAAACGTCAGAAAAACGTCACTTTGTTAACTCCTGTCAAGATGTCAGAAGTTTGATTTCTATGCTGCTAGGCAAATCCAGCGGGTTAACACCTGTCGAGGTGGTAGAAATTTAATTTCTATGCTGCTTGGCAACCCTAGCGGCAGCAAAAGTACTTTTAGTGCCGCTGGAGCGGCAGTAGAAGTACTTTTAGTGCCGCTCGTACTTTTACTGCCGCTCAACCATTCACTTGCCCCGAAATAGCGTGTTGCATACGGAGTATAGAAGCACTTTTTTGTGCTTCAGCAGTATTGCAAGCCTCACTACATTCGGCTCGCAAACCTACTGCTTCAGCTCAAAAAAGTAAAGCTTCTACTCCTAATACAACAATATACTATTTTTTTTTTTTTTAAATAATTTTAATTCATTTTATATAAATGAGGTGAAATTTGCTTAACACGATTTTATCTCAGGAACTATAAGTGCAAATGAGCTGAAATTTTCAGGGATTATAGTCCCTTCAGTGAGATGAGATTCAGTGAAAATTTCAGCTTTTTATCTATAATAGTAAAAAAGTTATGACCATCCAAAGTTTTCCAAAATCTAAATCATAAGATATCTTACTAAAACAATGAAATTTAAAAAAAAAAATTGTTGAGATTTTGTGTCCTAATGGTCAATAAACTTCCCCCAAGCTCCATAAACTAAATTATTCTCAGATTTGAAGCCGAAATCTATGAAAAAAAGCACTCAGAAAAATTGAAAAATTGCTAAATCACCCCAAATTGCTTAACACGATTTTATCTCAAGAACTAAAAGTGCAAATGAGCTGAAATTTTCAGGGATTATAGTCCCTTCAGTGGGATGAGATTCAGTGAAAATTTCAGCTTCGCCTTCGGGCATTATAATCTACATAATCCCCTTGGTACATAAATAGCTATTAGAATTAACTTGAATTAAGTTTTACTCATAGAATCCATCAAAAACTTCATAGGTAGTGTTTTTTTTAGGTACCTGATAAATTATTGTCAAATCCACATTCTGTCAGTAGTTGCACTAGCTGACATTTACTATCAAAAACTTCATGCTTCCAAATTTTTGTGTACTAAATTCCCGTTCCATGGCATTAATGAGCTACGTTGCACCGGCAGCAACACGACTATTACAGAACGTATTCCAACCAAGAAATTTCAATACAAGTTTATCACTTGGAGATAAAGATAGTCCTCCGGGACCTCCACCCCCATCAGGCGTGGGTCATGATAGGCCTCCTGTAGAAGGCACATCGGCCAGATACCTGGAAGAAATGTACAATGCTTGGTTGAAGGATCCAACAAGTGTTCATCCATCCTGGGATGGGTATTTTCGTAGACTTGGTGCACCGATTGAGCCAAGGATTCCAAAAAAAGAACGTTCTCGGGCTAGTTATGTGTTGCATGACCATCCACCGCATCTTGCAGCTCCAGCCGCAACTTCTGGATCTGGTGGTGGTGAATCTGCAAGTTCTACGGAAGAACATCTGAATGTACAAGCTTTGATTAGAAGCTATCAGGTAGGAACATAGCATTCAAATTCAATTAAGTAAAGCGCTGATTATTAACTTTTGGTATGTGTTAATGAGCCATTATGTAATTCTCAGTCAGATTGTTATTAGCCAAGAGGAGAAATACCAACCCCTAGATATTTCAGGTGCGCGGTCATTTAGTGGCTCTTATCAATCCTTTAGAAGATATGTTCGATATTACCGATAAGAAAACATGTTTATCAGAAAAAACAGGCAAACAACCCCCGGAGGTGGTGAGATATCACAAAATTAGTAAGTATAGTATAATAACAATAAAAATACCCAGATAAAAAAAAAACAAACATAATACTGTGTTTTTGTTTTACATTATAATCCCAGTGAAATCTGAAATTCAACAAATATCCCAAATTTATCGTAGAACAAGCTATGTTAGTCATCTTAAGTTACATTATATGTTACTGGCCCTGATTCAGCTTTTACAAAAAAAAATATCCATAATGTTGGTCATCAAACTCTAATTTTTAGCTTCGTCTATGTGGAACAACCCGTACCAACTGCCACCGTCCTGCAAAGTCGGTGGTAATTCCGCAAAGTTACCCCTGAAAGAAATCGTAAAACGCCTGGAACTGTCCTACTGTCGCCACATTGGCGTTGAGTACATGCACATAAACGATATTGAAAAGTGCGATTTTATTAGAGAAAAATTTGAATACCCTGGCGTCATCGACCTTAGTAAGGCGGAAAAGCGACTGCTGCTGAACCGATTAGCTAAAGCTGTAATGTAAGCAAGATTTTATTGTGCAAAGTGTGAATGAAGAATAGATGCGTGTTATAGGTTTGAAGGCTTTTTGCAAAAGAAATGGGACAACGAAAAAAGATTCGGTCTAGAAGGATGCGAAATTATGATTCCTTGCATCAAAACCGTTATTGATTATGCCGCTAAGCAGGGTGCTGAAATGGCTATAGTGGGTAAGTAAGGATTGCTGCGTATGGAGGAAATCTCACTCATCACTGAATGGCAGCACTTTTTAGTTTTTTTGTCAGATTTGTCTATGGTAACAATTAACTATAAAAAAAATTCGGAATTTATTGTTGTTTCTAGGTATGGCGCACAGGGGTCGATTAAACCTCTTGGCGAATGTATGCCACAAACCTCTAGAGCTAATTTTCTCCCAATTCCGCGGTTTGGAACCTGAAGACCAGGGTGCTGGCGACGTCAAATACCATTTGGGAGTTTTCGATAAAAGGTTTGGCTGTGAAGGTTACAATTGATATCAAAGCAGTTCTAAAACCTTGCGGTTCTAGTTTTGATTGGAACCAAAACAATACTAATTATTTATTTCAGAGAACACCCCATCTCCAAAAAGCCGTTTGCAACAGTATTAGTTGCTAATCCATCTCATTTGGAACTGATCAATCCGGTTGTAGCTGGCAGAGCTAAAGCTGAACAGTTTTATAGGAACGACGAAGTCGGGGATAAAGTACCTACTTAGTTTTAATTAAAATTGTTCTAAATCCTCATTAAATCGAATGTATTTTCAGGTATATCCTATTATAGTCCATGGTGACGCTGCCTTTTGCGGTGAAGGTATAGTCTATGAAACAATAAATTTGGCCAATTTAACCGGGTATCATAATGGAGGCACCGTTCATGTGGTCGTAAACAACCAAATTGGATTCACTACTGATCCGAAGTATTCTCGATCGTCTCCTTATTGTACAGGTACCTATTTCCAAAAAAAGGAGTCTTATCCATTGGCATATATAATACATATAGTTAAATTTTAACACCATTTCATTCCAGACGTTGGAAGAGTAGTAAACGCTCCAATATTCCATGTAAACGCTGACGATCCAGAAAGCTGCGTATACGCAACCAAAGTGGCTGTAGAATATAGAGCCAAATTTCATACAGATGTCGTCATAGATTTGGTGGGCTATAGAAGACACGGTCACAACGAAACAGATGAGCCCATGTTCACTCAACCATTAATGTACAAAAAAATCCGCGCAATGCCGAACGTTTTGGAAAAATATACAGCGGCCGCTATTAAAGAAGGTGTAGTAACACAAGATGAAGTGAAAACGTTTAAAGAGCAAATTACCAAAGATATGGAAGTTGATTTTGCTAAAGCCGCGAAGCATACTTCGATGAGATTCAGTGATTGGATTGACAGCCCTTGGCCTGGGTTTTTCAAAAGCAAAGACCCCAAAAAAATTGAACCAACTGGAGTTAGCATGGAGGTGTTAGAGACCATCGGCAAGAGGTATTCTGAACCACCACCAGGAGAGTTTGAGCTTCACAGAGGCTTGTTGCGTGTCTTGTCACATAGGCAAGACATGGTCAAGAAACAAATTGCCGATTGGTCTATTGGAGAAGCTATGGCTATCAGCACCCTCCTAAAGGAAGGTTTCCATGTGAGACTATCTGGTGAGGACGTGCAAAGGGGCACTTTTTCACACAGACACCACGTAGTACACCATCAATCAAAACCTATGACTACTTATCAATATTTGGCAGATTTTTTTCCCAATCAAGCTCATTATACTGTATCAAACAGTCCTATTTCTGAATATGGTATTTTGGGTTTTGAGCATGGGTATTCCATGGCTAAACCTGATCAGCTAGTGATATGGGAGGCACAATTTGGTGATTTTGCTAATAACGCGCAAGCCATGTTCGATTGCATGATATGCAGTGGACAATGGAAATGGATAAGGCAATGCGGATTAGTGGTATTGATGCCTCACGGACTAGAAGGGCAAGGGCCAGAACATTCTAGTGGTCGTATAGAACGTTTTTTACAATCATGCGACGATGATGGCGATCATCTGCCTCCAGATACTCCGGATTATGTTATCAAGCAACTGAGGGAAATTAACTGGATTATAGCTAACTGTACTGTGCCATCAAATTTGTTCCATGTTTTGAGAAGGCAAATGAAAATGCCTTTCAGAAAACCTTTGGTTATCTTTACACCTAAAAGCTTGCTAAGACATCCGGAAGCTCGGAGCCAGTTCAGTGAAATGGTAGAAGGTAAATACTAGATTTTAGGTACAGCCGTCAAAGTGACCAGCGTCGAAAAAATATGCCCCTTCGCACATCATATTTTTTTTGTCTTTGGAAATTCTGTGGGCTTGTGCTTTTCTGGTTGAACATTTTAAACCTTCTTCAATATATGCGTCGCTACTGTTTGCAGGTAAAGAATTCCAAAGACTATTGCCTGCTGTTGGGCCTGCAGCTCAAAATCCTGGCAATGCCAAAAAACTAGTATTTTGCACTGGAAAAGTTTATTATGATTTTATGAAAACACTCAGAGAGCAAAAGTTGGAAGATAAGATTGCAATTGCGCGTATTGAACAGGTAGGTAATCAGAGATAGTTTCTAGAGATTTCAGATTCTATCTATAATTTTTAATTTTAATACCATACTTGGAAAAAAGTTTAATAGGGAACTTGCAAGGGAAATAAAATTTTCCAAATTTGATTTAAATCGATAGTTTATACCGAGGGGGAAACCACCTTAGAATTTTGGTGTACAAAATGATAGAATTTTTTAGAATTTCTTAGAATTTTTTAGAATTATCAGTATTTTTTAGCATTTTTTAGTATTTTCTAGCATTTTCTAGAATTATTTAGTATTTTTTAGTATTTTTTAGTATTGTTTAGAATTGAATTAGAATTTTTTAGAAATAATTTAGAATTTTCACCTATTGCGCATGCTCAAGAGCCTGTGCACTGCGCAATCTGTAGGGATTTTTGGAAAATTTTTTGAATTTTTGAGAATAAGCGGGTGATCTATTATAAATGTCACCCCGTTCTAACTTTTTCATTTGACATTTTTGACAAAAGTGTCAAATACAAAAGTTTCAATAAATTATCGAAAGTTTTTAACTAAGTCAGTTTTAGACTTTGAATATAAAACTACAGGAAGGAGCATAACTTCGAATCTGCGCGACCAAAATATGTGGAGGTTGCATATGGCCGACTAGTATTTCTGGTTTGGCAGTGGCGTATATTTATTTAAATATGATTGTCAATATTATGACTCACTCTTTTCTCACTAATTCCATTACTTATTATCACTTAAAACCGCTAAAATCCATTAAACATCCACTTGAATGAGGACACAGCGAACCACCAAAACAAATGATGAGTCCATACTTGGAGGCTCAAAATGGCCGTTTCCGTCCCTGCGTTGTCTGTAGTGACAGATAAAAAACGCTCCTTCCTGTAGTTTTATATTCAAAGGTTTTAGACATACAGGGTGTGTCAAAAAAGTGTAGCAGTGTGAACTTATATTTTTTTAAATGGAACACACTGCATATTGTGCGCTTATTTTTTAGTCCCTTTTAACCTGATTTCAACGATATACGATTTGATATGTCTATCTTCGATATTTATAGGGAAAAATATGAAAACCCCTTTCAAGGTTTCATATTGAAAAAAGAAAAATTATACCTACCATTCAAGCTTTAGAGAATGTTTTCTATGAACAGTTCATTGTTCAAATTTTATTCATTAATATACAAGGTGAAATATTATAATAAATTCAGGTGTCTAAGTTATTATTTTTTTTGAAAAAATATAGGGATAGGGATTTTCGCGTTTTTCCCTATAAACTATTGAAGAAAAACCGATCATATCAAACCGTATATCGTTGAAATCAGGTTAAAGGGGACTAACAAATAAACACACAATATACAGGGTGTTCCATTTTAAAAAATATAACTTCACACTGCTGCATTTTTTTGACGCACCCTGTATGCCTAAGGGCGGGTATTATAAAACTACTTCGCGAGTTAACTTAAAGGAATTACATGTAATTCAAAAAGTTAACTTCAAGTTAACTGTCAAAGCAGCTTTATAATACCCGCCCTAAAACTAACTTAGTTAAAGACTTTTGACAATTTCTTAAAACTTTTGTATTTTACACTTCTGTCAAAAACGTCAAATGATAAAGTTAGCAGGGGGTGACATTTATAATAGATCACCCTGTACAAACTGATAGAATTTTTAGAATTTCATTTTTCAGAATTATCAGTATTTTTTTGCATTTTTTAGTATTTTCTAGCAATTTCTAGAATTATTCAGTATTTTTTAGAATTGAACTAGAATTTTCTAGAAATAATTTAGAATTTTTATCTATTGCGCATACTCAAGAGCCTGTCCAATTTGTTGGGATTTTTGGAATTTTTTAGAATTTTTAGAATTTTTTGGGACAATAATAACATGAAAATTAGCATTTTTCAGAATTTTAGAATTTTTGGTGTACAAAATTAGGTAGGTGGATTCCCCCTCGGTTTATACTGTACAATATCCATATGACCAGTTTTCATTTAACTAATACCGCCCTTGTTACACAAAAAATAATACTAAATTTGAAATAAAAAAATTCCCGCCAAAACAATGCTTCCATGATGGCCCCTTTTTTTGACGTCACGATTCTGTGAACAAGCTTGTCAAAAGGGAACTTGCAAGTGAAATTAAATTTCAAAAGTAGTCCTATACAATATTCTTCATCCATCGCGTTTTCGCGCCAAAGTTTTTGATTTGAATTTCAATAATTTTTTTTTCGTACAACCAACGTATAAATTAAAATGGAAAAAAATTGAACCATGTAATATCTGATTGCTGGAAGTATCTAAAAAAAAAATAAATTGAGAAATATGAAAATTCCCTATTGTGCCACCTTCAGTTCTTATCTAATCTATATGGTATGAAAAACATTTCAATTTACCATGACTATGGTCTTTCTTGAGGGCAATCTAAGTTGAATTTGCACTGTCAACTCAAAATTTAACAATCAGTTAGTCGTCAAAAATCAATTATCAATAAGAGCTTTGAGGACCATAGCAAGAAAAGACTGTTAAAAGTGCAATCTATTAGCTACTCCTGGACAACCAATGAACCAATAACAGAAAATAAAAAAGTTACTGCTGGAAAGAAAGGCAACTACCCCAATAACGGCAGTTAGGAAAGAAATTAGAGAGAAAGAACCTCAATAAACAATATTAGATATTTCGGAAGAGGCTAAGATCACCAGGAAGTAAATGCAGTGATGACTTATGCCTACAAAAAAACAGAAGAACATATGCAACAAGTGAAAAAAACTTAGGTCAAAAGAATGAGGAATCTGAGATATTCAGCGATCTAACTTCAATTGCCCTGAGGATGGTCTAATTGATATAGATTGACACATTATAATTTTCATTTGAGTTATGAATTTGGCATATTATAGCTTTATGTGTGTTGTAAATTACCTTCTCAAATTAACCTACTTTTTTCATTAGCTTTGTCCATTTCCATACGATCTAATCCTAAAAGAAATTCAAAAATACAGTGGTGCTCAAGTATATTGGGGCCAAGAGGAGCACAAAAATTCAGGCTGCTGGGACTACATGGAACCTAGGCTCATAACTGCTTTGAAGGGTGCAAAACCTTTAATGTAAGTAGACACCTAAAATAATTCTTTCATTAACCATTTTGTACAAATTTAGGTATATCGGCAGAGCCCCTTCAGCTAGTACCGCATCGGGAAATAAAATTCAGTACCAAACCGAGTATAAACTGCTAATGGCAGACCTTACAAAGCTGTAATTAATTAACTGAAAGAAATCGTGTTATAGTGTTAATGTCTAGTTTATTTTTTTTAAAAAAATAAAACAACACAATATTAATTGTTTTAACATTCATTATTTGTAAATTGTAACAAGAAACAAAGAAAAATATTATTGCACAAGCTGCCTAAAATATGACAAACACCGTTTTTTTTTTAGTTGTTCTACAATAAAAAAAATGTGAAATGTCAAGTGCCATGTTCAGTCTCAAGAGGTTCAGATCTAACAAAAATAATTCAAAAAATTTAATCCACAACCAAGTCCCAAGTATTCAATTCAGGTTCAGTACATAATCTCATTTCTACTGTGGCGTTTACTTTTTTCCTTGCTACCCCTAAACAAGTTCCTGCTCCCAAATTGTAGATCGGAGTGTTTTTCTGGGAGACAATTTCACAAGTTTATAAAAAAAAAAATCAAAAATAATTAGTTATTCTTACCCCACTTTTATGTTTCCATTCTTGATCGGCGCCCAGCTCGTGACACTTGTACAAAATCGGCTTGGGTTTGCCAGCTTGTAGGCATAAAAGTTGAGCCAAAACAAGCTCATTTCTATCTGTCTGATACCAAATTTGCTTTTTCGATTTCAAACATGGCCTCAGCACTAAGTAGCTACCCTTGGTTTTGGTGTCCTTGGCACTTTGAAGACATAAACTAGTGTTAGCAAGCCTGAAATAATATATTTAGTGTTGATGATTGTTTCAATATGAAATTTGTTACTTTATTGAAAATTGATCAACATAATTCCTTTTCCTAGAATGCCAAGGTTGAAATTTGTCTTGTTCCAAAGCGGACCACTTTTTCTTGAGTCTATCTTCATTATCATTGGGTAAAGTTAATTCTGGATAAACATTTTTCAAATACCAATCAAAATCGAAACATTTCAGCTCCTTTCTTAATTGGATTCTGGCAGAAACGTCACCAAAGTCCATATTTTTAGCCTGTTTGTTTTGATTCAAATAATAATCCTTATAATCGTCCATCCAAACGTTGGCCACCCTTAAAGAATTGTATAACATTGTATCTTGCCCGTCAGGTGAACCATAAGGCCTTCTATGTCTGAAAATGTGTCCTACTCTGCTGCAAGGGATAAGTTCTAGGCTACCACCACACATCCAGATCTAGAGAAATTAAAATAGCAAATCAAAACAAATACATCCAAAAATGTGTATACTGTTATTATATTGGAAATGGTAGCTTCTCAAGAAGAGAGATTCTTTTTTTTTCAGCAGGTAGGTATGTGTCTAAATTCAAAATTTGATTGGTAGTTAATATCAATTTTTGAAAGCCGATATGAAAAGTGGGTCACATTTCGAGATATTTTCATCAAAGTGGTTCATGAAAATCAAACAATTACGATAATAGAGAAAATGCAGCATCATAAATCGCACATGAGAGGGGGAGTTGGACGACTTAGCACCTGTCTAAAGCAGAAACCAACTATGGCCCTGCTTCGGATATTCGCAATGACAAATACAGCAACAACAGACTTATAGTCTCCAAACTACAAGATAGGATCTCAAATGTACCAGTGATTAATCACGAATCATCATTCAAGATTAAACAGCTTCACAATACAGTTGTGGAATGTCTTGAAGCCATCAATAATCTAAGTAATGATACTTTCAATTAGGATCCTATTATCCTATCTATCGAAAATGGGATCATGAAACCAACAAACTTTATGAACAATCGCTATGTAAGCCCCATGAAATACAGGAATTTGTTGAAATAAAGAAAGTTCTTCAATCAAGATTCCAATCATTAGAAGCAATTTCAGAGTTCTAATACATTTTTGTACATTGCTGTGATCTATTTTGTCCCTAATTCTAAATGTGATACTTACAGTAAGCCGTAATGCAAACAATATTATTCTCGATTCTATAATTTCAGTACTCAGTGATTTGAATGTAAACATTGATGATGATCCATTGCTGTCCTACCAAGAGCTCTCCGTAAATCAGACTGTAAACAAGATTCCAATAGGTACCAAATATAATTTTAGAAGAGCGAATTTTGTGGATTTGTATAACCGATTCAAACACCAAAACTGGAGTTGTCTGTAACTTTGCGGATGTTAACTTGGCAGTGGGAAGGTTTTATGAAATAATTTTTAGTATATTACGCGATTGTGTACAAAATCCACCCAAGTGGGCAAAAAATACCCTGTTTGGTTCAACAGAGAAATTATTAATCTCATTCAACTGAAACGTGAATATTATATGTATATATTCTTGAGGGGTGTAGTGAGTCTTTGGTTGAACCACTGAGATTTATTTTCACATTAATCCTGAAATCTTCAATTTATCCTGATCAATGGAAATCTAGTGAGGTAATTCCTATTTATAAAAGTGGGCCTGAAAAATAGATTAAGAATTATCGTCCGATTAGCATTGTGTTTGCAGTGTCTAAAATTTTTGAGAGAATCCTATTTGAGTTGATTTATAATGAAGTGTCTTCTAAAATCACACAATTCCAGCATGGATTCCTACCAAAAAGATCAACTTTCACTAACTTAGCTACATTTTCCCAGTTTGTTGACGAGTCCCTAAAGAATAAAGCTCAGGTAGATGTGATCTATACAGACATGGAAAAGGCATTTGACAAGGTTAGGCACTGTGTAGTTGTGAAAGAACTGATGAATATTGATTTTCCCCCCCGTTTAATCAATATAATTAAATCCTACCTCTTGAACAGGATCCAGTATGTTGAAATAAAAGGATGTATGTCTTTAGTGTATAAAAGTACATCAGGCATCCCCCAAGGTTCTAGTCTGGGACCCCTACTTTTCTTGATAGCAATAAATGGCATTGTTGATGTAGTGAAAGAGTCCAAAACTTTGCTGTTTGCTGATGACCTTAAACTGTATGCAAGCATTATGTCTCAGGATGACTGTGGTAGTATTCAGCGTGACTTGGATTGTGTTGCTCTTTGGTGTGATAGTAATGATTTCAATATGAATATTGATAAGTGTTCTAGTATGTTCTTTTCCCTAAATCATAATGTTTTTAACAATCAATATAGTTCTGTTAAATAGGGTAAGCTCTCAACGTGATTTAGGTATAATTTTTGAAACAAAAATGTCATTTAACGACCATAGAATAACTACGATACAGGATACACAAAGAATAATGGGATTTGTGATAAAAAATACCAAAAATTTCAGTATTGACGTAAGCCTTAAGCTTTAGTGCTCCCGAAACTAGAGTATAATAGAATTATATGGTCACCACAGTATAATGTATGGATATCGCTTATTGAGGGAATACAGAGGAAATTTTTAAAGTATGTGTTTTTTAAGAAGTTTGGTTTTTGTCCTCAACAAGGCTGTCATAATGGAATTTTATTATGTATGTTCAATAGGATGCCTTTGGAATGTCGTAGAATAAAAGCATGTTTGTGTGCTATGTTTAAGTTGTTAAAGGGAAATATTGACAGTCATGATATACTCGGTGAATTGCCGTTTGTAGTAAATAGAATGAACGTTAGAGATAAGAAAAAGATTTCCCTAGAACAAATTTATTTAAGCAATCACCTTATATCAGATGAGTCAAATGTTTAATAAGTATGCTTCTGACGTAGATATAGACATGGTTAGCTTAAGGAATTTTAAGAATATTGTTGATGATAAATTAGTGTCTGAATTTTTGTTTTAACTATTGTAATTGTATTTCTAGACTAAGCAAGTGTCTGTAATTGGCTGTTTGGCTGTTGATACTTATGGTATAAATAATTAAATTAATTAATTAACTCCAGGTCATTTTTTAGTTGGAAGAGAAATTATACCTTTCCCCGATCCAATAACTACAAACAAACTCGGACGTTGTTGGAAGATGGAAACTAGTTCAGAAAATTAAGAAATATTTCTGAAAGAGGTGGTCAAATGACTATCTCCATAAACTTCAGCAGCGTAACAAGTGGAAGAATCACCAGGATTCACTCAAACTTGGAGATTTAGTTCTAGTAAAGAATCAGAATATCAACCCAAGCAAATGGCCACTAGCAAGAATTCCTGAAGTGCATCCAGGTAAAGACACAACTATTAGAGTGGTCACTATAAAGAGAGCAGAAGGAGGCCTGATTAAATATCTACACATCACCTAATTCCAATATTTAATAAAAATCAGTATTAATCCAACAGTGGTTCTTACTCCCCAGTTACCAAACTTCCCGGGTGTACTAACCCAGCCGAGAACCCAGCCTACAAACCACAAACTACCAAGTGCTCTTAGCATCCTCCTAAATTCCAACATCCGGAATTTACAGTATGCAATTGAGAAAAGTGAAAATAAATTACAATAATTATTAGGTAATTTCAAACTCTTACCCTAAAAGAAATCTCCAAATTCTCTCCACCCCAAATATTCATTCCAGCATCATACTCCCCAATATCAATGAAATATTTTCTGTCGATAGCAAACAGGCCTCCAGCCATTGTTGGCGATTTAATCGGCTTGATGAAATCCTCTGGCTTGTCTAGCGTGCCCTTAGGTAAATTCTCCCATTTAAAATGCAGGCCCCAATTGAATCCTCCCCTAACCAAAGGGCTTGAGCTATAACCAAAAGTGTCTGGATTGATAATATCTATTATAGGCATCACTACATTTGTTTTTCTACTGCTGATTCTAGATAGTAAGGGTTCGATCCAGCCTTGGTTTACTTCTATGTGGCTGTCCAAAAATACAAGAACCTAAGTATTAAAAAAAATAATGTTAAAGCAACAATATTTAATTTATATATAAATAAAACCTTACATCTCCTTTTGCCTTTTGTGCCCCTAATATTCTAGCTCTTATAAGTCCCTCCCTTTGCTTCGTTTTGAACAATCTGACTTTGTTTGTTAGATTTTGATTTTTCAAATATTGCTGTAAATTTTCATGTAAATTTTTGATATCACTGAAATCATCCATTAAAACGATTTCCTTTAAAAGATTTTCAGGGCTCCGGTCCAGGATGGAATGAATGGTTCTCAAGAGGGTTTGATAGTGTTCATTGTAGAAGCAAATGATTATACTGGCGTCAGGAAGGTTTGGTGGATAAATAACATCTTTGCATCTAATCAAATAATAAATATTAGTTTTACGAAATTGGAGAGACATATTTTTTTTACAGTGGATTTCTAGTATCAGGTATTTCTCTATGGTAGCTGAGTTTATTGCTTATAAGGACATTGTAGGCATGAATTTTGTATCCTTCATCTTTGATTTTCAGTTCTTTGTCATTCTGTACAAGACCCAAATCAAAGAGATCTGGAAAAGCTTTAGTTTATATGAAATTTTTTGAACTTAAAAGGTTTCTACCTTGCTCAAATTTATTGCTAGAATTGGGAGCATTCTTCACAATAGGCTGGAGTTTATCCACTAAACTATTACTATTAAATCCATTTGCTTTCTTCAAGTAGCCTTTGTCGGGATGTATTTGACCTTTTTCAAGCCCAAATGATTGTTTTTCCAAAAATTTATTTAGTTTTGGCTCAAAAGTAGGAGCAAAGCTGTTGGAATTTGGTTGCAAAGTCTTCGTTAATTGTGCATATAAATACAGAGAAACTATCCACGTTATGGAAGCGAAAAATATACCGTACAAAAAGGATTTGTTTATGCTGACCATATTTAACACGTAATCTACATTTTCTATTTTAAATAAATATTAAAAAGTTAAATTAACTGTATATTTTTTTCCTGCTTTCCTTTTTGTTTTGTTTTCATTTTAGGTTATGTTATGAAATTGTCGTTATGTAAATAGCACGTACATCTCTTTCTAGTATTCCTAAATAAAAAAAGAGAACAATAAGCTGGTGCTCCGACTGTTTCTATCAATTCAAAAGATGTTTAAAAACATTAACTTAACCTCACTTTTTCAAACTGACTCTTTCATACAAATATTTCACTTATTTCTATTTTTCTACTTGTTTTATCTCTTGTATGAGGCTTGTGAACTAATTTGATAAATATTATGGCCAGTTTACTCGATTCTGACCTGCCAAATAACTGCGAAATAGCTGTATGTGACATCAATGGACAAGTGCATTACATGAATGCTCAACATGCAAATGTTGGCACTTTTACCAACTCTGTAAGTAATTATACGCCGTTTATTTCCAAATAAATCGAGACAGCATTCAAATTCTAGGTGGAACACCTTCCAAAAATCCACATAACTCGAGACCAATTACAAGAAGGAAAAGACGCATTTTTACCTCTCCGGGGTCCATTTCTACAACAACTCTCTCAAGTTTATTTCAATCGAGGGACAGCTGAGGCATTACAGTTGGTTAAATCGTATAATACTTTCCTTGTTTCTCATGGTGCAAGTGTTGTTCTGAATATTTTAAACTTAATACAAAAAATCCGCCTAATTTTCAACCCAAACGTCCGTTACCTGCCACCAACTCTCATAACTAAACTTAGTCAGACTAAAGATTGGCAAAATAGCACAATAAGATTTATTTCCTGGCACCCGTATTGTAATAAATTGGCTGTAGTCACATGTGATGATAGCGTAAGGGTTTTTAGCGCTGAAAACAATAATTATCATCCAATATTAAGATGTAAAGAACAGAAAAACATAACTTGTGTTGCTTGGAGGCCGATGTCCAATACAGAACTTGCCGTAGCTCATGGAAACGGCATAATTCTCTGGAATCTTGACCCTAACACCCTAAATCCAAAACCAACCATCAACAATGCACTTATTCTACAAAGAATTGAACACAAACCTGTAATGTCAATAGCCTGGTCCCCGAAAGGCGAATTGCTGGTAAGCGTGGCTGCATGTGATAATACAATATTAGTCTGGGATCCAGAGTTAGACCAGACAAGTGCCTTGAAAAGACCAGGAGGACATGGCCAGGTCTTAGTTAAATGGTCGCCATCAGGAGATAAATTCCTAACATGCTCAAATGGATTGAGCTTCAGAGTTTGGGACTATAGGAGCTGGGAATGTGAGAGATGGACTGTGGTCAGTGGAAGGGTGCAGACGGCTTGCTGGTCTAATTGTGGGAAAGTGCTGCTTTTTGCTACCAATAAAGAACCTTTGATTTATCGTGTTATTGTCAAGAATGATACAGTTTTTACTGCTGATATTGGTAAGAATTTGTTTAAATTATTTATCTTATTTCAAAATAAATGTATTTCTTTTGGGAATGGGATAAATTCTCGGATAAATTGGAGACCATGCATCTAAACTATTTTAGATAGAACAGGATGTTATTGATAACAATTTATGAAATTTCTTTTCTATACATACTGTAGGTTTGTTCCAACACGTCAAAAACTAAGCCATTGATGTGTTCAAATAAAGCTTTTACAAGCTTAGGTACCTGCTGAACTAGTTGAAAAACACATAATTTAATAGGCTGTGTTAATAGCTCTCTTGTGATATAATATTTTTACGCAGCATAATATGTGGCATACAAATCGTTATTAGACAAATTTTCAAGAGGTTTAAAACCCCATAAAAACTTAAGTAGGTAATGCACGAGGTACTGCATACTTAATACTCTGAGCAGAGAAATATGTGGAACGGAAGTGAGCAATAAAAAGAGAACTCCCCTTGCACACGAAATGCAAAATTACCACAATTTTGGTCAGAATGTGTTAATCCTTTTCAGCTGCTTTGGAAGTTGTCTTACAAGGCCTGACAGACATTGTCGAGGACATTGTCATTACTCAAATCAACACAAAATGTTGCCTTGAACTATTTTTTAAAATTTAATCAGAGAAAATTAATATAGAGGTCTTCAATTTTGGTGTTTGCGTATTTGATCTATACCTATAATCTTTGTTTTCAAAACATAAAAAAATAATTATTTACATAATGAAAAATCCGAGGGGTAAACCACTAGTGGAAATCCGAGTGGAAATCATTGTACATTGTTTGGGAATCACATAGTAATCAATCAGGAATATATGGAAATCCGTTGGGAATCGCTAGGAATCTCCTAGGAGTCCATTGGAATAATAAAGGAGTCTATTGGCAATCACTGAGAATTTAGTGGTAATCGCTGGAAATAACCATTCCACCATTCTAACCCAGAAATCGCATATCATACATTTTAAACAATACCTACAGCGTACCGGTCAGTTGTGTATTTGCCTTTAAGACTAAGTTTTAACCCTTTCTATACTAGTGCCGTATATATACGTATCTCCGTCTCAGTACGCCCGCCGTGAAATGAAAAACACAAATTGCTCAAAGCCCGGGTGCCGAAGCTATACGGCGGTGATTTTATCCGTTTAAATATGACAATCTACATCGCATGGTGGGGAAAAAAGCAAGTGTGAACAAGTCTTTACGAATTCGATGTATCAGACGCCTGGACACGAGTGCCGTAATTATCCGACTATTTGTTGTACTGTTTACTAGTGAGTTGTGCTGTAGTTGCTGTAGTTGCTCTACTTAATTTGTATAAAGTGTTTTTTTAACCAATATTTCAATGTATTAGGTATTTTTTAGAAATAATACTTTTGTGAAATTTATCAATAAATAAATTTAAAAAAATATATTTAACTTCTCCACCAGTGCCGTATACAACCGTCTTCTAAAAACGGATATTTTGACGAGTGCCGTATATATCCAATTTCCTGCATTTTCCCGTACAGGGGTTACTTTATGAAAAACACGGCCCGTATAGAAAGGGTTAAGCAACATCTCTGTTCCAACCGACATTAGAACCGTTCTAGAACGGTAATTTCCAGTTGATCAATTCATTTGTCAAGTAGGATAAACGTTCAACTTATTGAAAAATAGGTGGGCCACTGGAAATTACTGGTTCTGGAACGGTTCTCATGTTGGTTGGGACAGGGCTGTGCGAGACAATTTGAAATGAATTTGATATCCCAACGAGTTTCCCAATAACTGAACCCGAGACCACAAAGAGTTTAGAATTTGAAGAAGAAGAAGAACGAGATGAAGATTAGGTCTGTTCTCACAGAAATCACAAACCAGTCAGAGCGTTTTTGATTGGTGCAAATCGCCAACAACCAATTTGTTGACTATTTTCAACCAATGAAATTCACTCTGATTGGTTTGTGATTTCTGTGAGATAAGACCTAAAATATGACAATGTTGAAGAGCATGAAAAGGAAAACATGAATCCTCGCATGAATCTTGAAACATCTCTCAAATCCGACTTGCCAAAAGAAGACGCAGAATTTCTTCACACATCAGGGTTTAGCAATTGCGATTCGGTACAATTTAGAGATTATTCAGGGCTCAACTTTAATTTTGTTTTTTTAAGGGGAAAAGTAGAATAAATACTAGGTAGAGTGAGAAGCAGAGACGATAGCACATCTGAATCAGAATCAGAAGTAAGTTTGTCGAGTGAAACCCTAATTGAACTCTGAAGATGTCTCTGATTCAGACCAACATCCTAGTGAAATGATAGAAATATCCATTATTTTAGATCCATATTATGCAGTGTAGACACGCAATGGTATCTAGGGCTCCACCACAGCTATTTATACCTACAACAAAATCAGTGTGGGTGTGGACAACCATAAAAATAAAAGTGGATAACTTTTGGAAGAGTTGAAAATACAGAAGTTGGCAATTTTTCAGTGGAAACTTGTTTTTATAAGTGAAAAGACTGTTTATTTTGGTCATATCAATGTGAAGCTTAACAAATAGACATCGTTTTCATAATAAAATCAGCTGGAAACCGGATGATTGCAGGAAATCATCGAGATAATCAGGTAATCAATTGGGAATGATATAAGAATCCCGAGAAAAAATGGAAATCACCTGGTAATCATACAAAAATATCTGTAAATCATTGGCAATCAGTCGCAATTCTTGGGATGGGAATACATGAGATTCATTGATCAGTGATTGCCAAATATGGAAATTATTGTACATTTGTAAGCATAGTGGTTGACCCTTCGGAAAAATCCAATGATCTATTAGCATGTGATCTGGAAAAGGTCATTTGAGGAGTGTAAAAGTAGTGGTAATGCGTTATTTAAGCTCCAAATTAAATAAGATTCGTGGTAATTCCCAGCAACACTGTTTTTGAGAAGGTTCAAATCGCGGTTTAGATTTCTGGCATTATTCGCTTATTCTGGTAACATGCTCCACTAATATACAATTCGATTGATTATAAAATTTTTGCTTGCGAGCTTAGATGTTTTCTCTGTCTCTAAGTTGAGGGAATGTCCATGCAGTTGTACGTTTTCACTAATTTTTAATGGAATCGCAGAATCATTATATTAGTCATTAAAAGTTTTATGGGTGTCTATTAAATCACCCCCAAATCACCTCTTAGTCTCCTGACTTTTATTGTTGTTAAATTTAGTTTTAAGAGGGTTTTGCAAGGGGTTTAGTGTCAAGAGGCCAGATTCATAGCTGTCATTAAATAGTTGTTGCGGAATTTTAGTCACTCCGCTGAACACGTTCTAACATAAGCATTCCTGATAAAGTATGGATTCCATATATTATGTGCATATCCCAATTTAGGATGTATGTATAACTTGTAAACTTTCAAGAAAAAATCTGTTGAATGATCCATAAATGCTCATTTAATGCAGTTCCTAAATGAAAGAGTTTGTGTTCTTGATAACCTTGCTTATGTGACTTTTCATTTCAAATATTTTTTATTAAAACTCCAAAGTCTTCCTGCTCTTCCACATGACTGAAAACTGCATTATTGGTACAAGGTAACTCCACACAGTTTAAAACCCACACTCAGAAGTGTACACTTTTCTTCATTTAGGTTCATCCTCCATTTGTCACGCCACAGTTTTATTTTTTCAATGTCCTCTTGAAGATCCTCATTATTCGTGTCGGGGTTTGCATATAGCTTTGTGTCATCAGCATAGAACACAATAATTGATGATTTTATATGTATATGCCGCTTAGTCACTGGTGAGAATCAGGAACTCCACTCATTAGTAGTATTAGTACCGTGTGAATTGTGAAACGAGGACAGCGCGCCATTTACTTTCACCCGATATTTTCTGTTTGTTAGGAAATCCCAAGGAAGGCAAGTAAATGATCCCTACTGATACCGTGACTCAGTTTATGAATGAGGAACTGGTGTAGTACCTTGTCAAAGGCCTTCTCAAAATCCAAATAGATCACTGGCTACTAGTTTGCCCTGATCAAAACTTTTAGTCCAGGAGTTTTTTGGAAGAAAACTGTGCTGGTGCTCAGAGATCGCCCTATTTTCCATTAGGAATGGCGTGAGGTCTTTGACAATAACTTTTTCCATGAATTTGACTAAATTGTAACTTAAACTGATTGGTCAATAGTTATATGCCAGATGTCGATCCGTCTTTTTGTATAATTGAGTGAATATTGCTAGTGTCCAAATGTCAGAAAGATAACCACATTTCAGGATTTCATCCATCATTTTTGCCAAGTAAGACCAATTGATTCTTTACATACTGTTGTTCTGGTAAACATGTGTTATGAATCATGAATTGGCTCAAAATTTTGCTGCTATAGATTAGTGTTTATATCATCATAATTTGCCTTCCGAAAGTTTCTACTTAACACCTTGTTGGTGTCTTTTGTTGGTGGATTAATTTGTGACTCACTTAATATTATTTCATGGTCACTACGTCCAAGTGGGGATTCAGTTTTAATATCCATTATTAGATCCAATTGAGATACGTCATTTCTTCTATAAAGTGTTGGAGGATATACCATTTGATGAGTGTTCATTTCCTTATAGTTGTCCAGGGAAAGTTCACTCAATTTATCATTACTAGAAAGAGTAAGATTATTCCAGTTTGTTTTGGGGTAATTTAAATTCCCAAAAACAAAAACAACTATATTTGTGTCATTCATAAAAAAAGAGATTGAACAGTTTACTGGAATAGATTTGGTTCCCTCCCTTCACCTAAGTTCTTATGTAGAACTTAATTGAAAAGTTGATATTTTAGTTTTAAAATTGACATATTTTTTCCAGATTCCTCTTCCAACCAAGCCCTGCCCATATTTGAAACCCCCAAAGTCGATTCAAATGGTAAAATGGTAGGCGGCCTAATCCAATGGATGGAAACTGATCCAAATGGCAAATATTTAGCAGTAATGTTTCAAGAAACAAATGCTATAGCTGTGTTCAATATTCTCAGGCAACCCTGTATGCAACTTATACCAGGGTAAGTTTTGTTTAAAACAGTTTGATAATTTTAAAATTAATACTTTATATTTAAGGGCTCTCATTAATGGTTTAGCTGAAGAAATACCAACTGCTATAAGCTTCGTGCAAAATTTTAACGCTGGAGCTTGTTTGACTATTGGATGGTCTAGTGGACGGATTCAATATTATCCCATTATTTATTCTGATTTGGTTCAGTAATGAAAATTTGAATATCCCAGCTAATTTTTTGTTGAATGTCTTTTAATGTCATATTTAAGTTTATTTTTTAATAATATTATACTATTGATTTTTTTAAAATAATTTTGATTTGATTTTTTTCTTTTCCTGTGGTGGTAATTTTCACTAAAAGCACTACGATTGAAAGTAATTTTATTAGTAAGTTGAGTAGGTACTAAGTAATATCAAAGATAATCCTACCCGTAGTAAAATTTCTTCTATTCATATTATTGAATGTGTCTCTTCTGTTTTAAAGCCCATGTCCACTTTTATGAATAACGCTCTAGAAGGAAGGTTAATCCTTGACTCGATACCTCTGGACAAGCAATATTGAAAGCCTGTGTCTACACATTATGCCACCAAACGTGAGCAAAAAAAAATCAGTTGCGCTAGTATTACCATATTATTCAGAGTCCAAGACAAGCTGTCATGGGTTGAATCAAAAGTTCAAAGGCATAATAATAGGCATGATTTTGTTTTGGATTTTCCAGATTATGTTCCAAAGCGTACATTCTTGTAGGAATTGTTCCAGAAAGAATTTCTCAAAAATCACTGTGTGGAAATATTCCTAGAACATGAAAATTCTTTTAATGATATCGGGGATATGATAGAGACAGCTATCCGAGAAAAAATCCATCAGAAAAGATGCCAAAATATGGAGTTTCATGTATTTAAACTGCTGGACAAATGAAGCGGAACAAGCGAATTTTTAGGTTAACTTCAAATTTCAATATTACGCGAACTAAAATAGATATCGATGAGTAGTTTGCGAAAATTAACTTCTAAATTACGCAAATCACTCATTGATATCCTCTTCAGTTCACGTAATATTGGAATCCAAAATTAAACTAAAAATTCGCTTGTTCCGTTTCATTTGTCCAGCAGTTTAGTTTAGTGTTCTAATGCCTCGCATAATAATGTATCAAAATTATTTTAATTTTTTATTGTTAATCACGCATTATTTTTCTCCAATATGATTGTCTATTTATCTCTTTGTTAAAGTAACAAAACCTGAATCTAACAATATCATTATCTTGTATATACACAATGATTATCTTGTATTGGATGCAAATAAGTTTAATTAAACTACACACGCCCGAGATAAATGAGTTGGAGTGATTCCAGTGGTGAAACGATTTTGTATTTTCAACCCAAGGATATAATTTTTAGCAATATTTTTGAGGCTTATTGTTGATTGTGATTTGTGGTGCTATTGGGCATTAGGTAGGTACTTGAAACCTTCGCATTAAAAATTAATATTGTCAACTCTCTCCAAAACTCTGCCACTGACTGATTTTATCGGACGCAACAAGAAGAGCGATAATTTTCAGCAGCAAACGCGGTTTCAGTTTCAGTTCAGTATCAGCCCTGTCGGTGCGGCGCGCCTGTTTTTCCAGAAGAGAAATATCACGCAAAAGTTTCCCGTGAAAAGTTTTCGCTTGTTTTTCTTCAAATTATTTTCATGAAAAAATGAATCATGCTATTTCTGCTTGAATGTAGACAATTTATTAGTTTATATGTGAGAAAGATTTCGTTTTTTTCAAGAATTTGGTAAGTATGTTTTTGATTCAATTATTAGAGATTACTTAGAGGGAATATGATGGGGAGGAAATTATAAAAAGTTAAACAAAAAGTCTAATAATTACACTAAAGCATATGTTCCTCTAATATGAAATTTTTATCATAAAACTCATTTTTCATATTTATTCAAATGGTAAATCCCCTAAGGAAATATTCCATCCAATATATCTTGTAATAATTAATTAAATTGACTAATGGATAAATGGATTTTGGATAAGTTTTCGCGTGATCAAACTAAAAATGAGAATCATTTTATATTGATTAGGTTTTTGTCGAGTTTTGTACACGAGGTTTGAATGGATTTTTCTTCCATATTTGAGTAAATTTTTTCAGATTCAGGTACCTATACCTACCTCTAACATGGTTAAGCGCCATTTGCTATTTAAAAAGATATTTTTGCATATGAAACTAACTATATTTCAGGACTATTATATTTTCATATGAGTCGCAACTACCTACATGCATCTGGAATTTTTCCCGAAAGCACATTTTAAAAAGTTTCAACATACATAATAGTACATACTATATTGTGCTTAATTTAGTATACCTAATTTGGAAAACTTTGATAATGGTTCCCCCAATATTTCTGCATTAAAATTAATTGAACCAAGTAATAATTAAGACTTACTTATTTGTTCAACTCAACATTAAAGTGTCATTATTACAATAGTTATATTTAATCTCTCTTAGACAAAATATTTCTGTCATAAAAGTCTCCAACACACATCGGTGAAACCAAATAATGTGTTTATCGTAATTCTATCTGCTTCTGCACGCCTCCAAAGAAGAATAAAAAACCTTTCAAAGGAGGTATCACACTGGATGGGTTCTCATTTTAGAAAAATTATTGGGGGCGTTAAGCCCCTAAGACAATAGGGATGGGAGTTAAGTAATAAACACATTACTATTTGGTTTCCCTGATGTGTATTTGAGATTTTCGTGTCAGACTTCTTTTGTCTAAGAGATAGTAAAAATTCAAAATTACTAGTTTCAAAAACTTCTTAACACCGATATCTCAAAAACTAATAGTACGATTTAAGATTTTGGGATAAAAATGTAAAGGGTAAACAATGAGTTATCCAATGATGGTGCAACACAAAGTAGGTTCGTAGAAAAAAAGTCAAGGTAGCTACCCCCTGTATAGCTTCAAAATATAGGTACATTTGGGAATAAAAGAATAACAAAAACAAAATATGAGAAGGATTCACACACTTTAAACCTAAACAGTGTTAATTTTGGAAAAATCTCGATTTTATTGCCAAATTCTACAAATGCTGTTGAATTTTATGAAGTGTGAGGAAAAGTACATTTTTCCGTTCCGTTTTCCGTCCGCTTCTGATTAATCTGTGCACGTGCGATTTGCTTTATCATTACATGTCATGGTCTCTTGTCTGCTCTGACGAGATTAGTTGAAATAATTTTTTTCACAGTAGCCACTGCACGATTTTTGACGTCGAAAGGTTTATTTTACGGCACTTATGATGAAAATAATTATTCGGTAGAAATAAATGGAAAATTAAATAATGTGAATGTAGATATGCATTTTATTATTTATGAAAAATATTGTATTCCATTATCCTTATATTATATTATCCTTTGAACAATTTGAGTAAAATTAAAACAATTGCTTAAATTGGAGGAATTTAAATTTATTTGAAACACATGGCGCATTATTAAGTACTTACTCCACAGCTTTACTCTCTCTCCTCTGGAAATTTAAGGCCTAAGCGTGCTTTTGGGCTTATTTCCTCTTACATTAGCTAAATTATTCGGGTAATTGTTATATTGATTTGTTATTGTGTTTTTAAAATTTAAATATCATTTAGCCAACATTTCTAAATCGTCTTAATTCTTATCGCCAGTATCTCCATAGATTCCATTTAAATAGTAAGTAAACCATTATTCCTGGAAAATGGGACTTTTTAAACGGTTCTTAATAATAGTATGTATTACGTAAGGAGTCCGGGGTGAGTGTTAGTACTGCGTAGCCGAGTCTTGGAAGTCTGCCAGTCCGAAAAAAAAACACTTTCTTGGCGTATTACGTAGGTACACTATTTTTCCAACGACCGTTCGGAAAGTACATAGTACTTTCCGGTCTATGCTGAAAAAGAAATAGTTTTTTAAGTAAAACGCGTCAAGAAAGAATGTACTTTCCGTACGGTTGCCAATAAAGGATATTCACCAGAATACATATATTATTCAACACGTTTCCTATAGCATAAAATAGAAAAAATGACATATAATCAGTTTTTCTTTTTTCATTCAAAGAGCTGTATGAAGCAAAATATTATAAATTATGTACTCCACTAGTCTGCTATACTTTTCCCTTATTTGTTTCGGAGTTTCAGACTCGGCGATAAAGTATTGAAGTCTTATGTATTCCCTGAATAACTTATAACATAAATTTTTATTTCTGCGTAGAACCGTACCTTCATTCTGGCTCGGTTTTATTGTATTTTTGTTGTTAGATAGATACCTACGCATAGGTAGTAGGTACCTACTACTCAAAATGCTCAACAACCAGCCTTTACCAAGTCGCAAACGAAACACTAGATCAAATAGAAGAAAACCCTCTAAAAAAAACGCCATAGTTACTGGAGAGATTAAGAGATTGACGACGTAAGTATAGGTAAGAGGTTAATAGAAGACTGAGTACCTACCTACTTACTAATACCACGTACATTACCTACTTATCCGAAAAACCATACCAGAATGAGCAAAATTACAAGAACGCAAAAACAAAAGTATGAAGATTGATAGGGTTTAAGGAAGATTGACTAGAATATGCAAGAAAATAGAAGGTGATGGAAGCATCTAGATTTGGGTGAAGTTATAGGAACATTGAAAAAGAGAAACTATATCTCCAATAACAATTCTTGAATGTGATCAACACTTTAAGAAACTACTAATCGAAGAATGAGCGGAGCTATAAGAAAGATATGTGATCAAAACTACACTTTCTCGAGGTTAAAAACGTATGTATAAATCTAAATGAGGAACCACAGTATCTATTAGAAGAAAAAGGAAAGCAAAACTTCTTACATATACACAATTCACAAAAAAGGGAAAAAAGACAGGTGCGATTTTTCGTTGGAGGAACAAAGTTAGGAACGAAGAAGAGTAAGCCAGGTCAAGGGCGGTAAGATCGACTGTGAACCATTTGTTTTGTATATCACAATAGTGATTGAAACGAAAAAAGCATACGGACAAGAACTATATCTATATCTGCTGTATGGAGATCTGAAAAAAATCTATGTCAGTGTACCCTTAAATCTACTTTGAAAACCGTTAGAAAAAATAAACCTATACCTACTTGAGGCGATTAAAAAAGCTATACAACAATAGCGACGCCAAAGTGAAGATGCAGAACAGCTGAACAAAGGATTTTAAGCCAATCAGGGCGGTATTTCTCCTATACGCTTTTCAATATTTTATCTGGAACAAGTCCTCAAAGTATGGAGAAGAACATAAAAATGGACAAAGTAGAATGTCTCAGGACTACGATGACAGACTA